TTTCTCATTTAGTGCTCTGAATATAGCATGCCAGTCCTTTCTGGCCTGCCAGGTCTCTGTGGATAGGTCTGCTGCCAATCTAATATTTTTACCATTGTAGTTTGCAGACCTCTTGTCCCGAGCTGCTTTCAGGATTTTCTCTTTGTCTCTGAGACTCGTAAGTTTTACTATTAGATGTCGGGGTGTTGACCTATTTTTACTAATTTTTTTAGGGGTGTTCTCTGTGCCTCCTGGATTTTCATGCCTGTTTCCTTCCCCAAATTAGGGAAGTTCTCTGCTATAATTTGCCCCAATATACCTTCTGCCCCTCTCCTTCTGGGATCCCAATTATTCTAATATTGTTTCATCTTATGTTATCACTTATCTCTCGAATTCTGCCCTCGTGATCCAGTAGTTGTTTATCTCTTTTTCTCAGCTTTTTTCCCCCCTCATTTGGTCTTCTATATCACTAATTCTCTCTTTTGCCTCATTTATCTTAGCAGTTAGAGCCTCCATTTTTGATTGCACTTCATTAATAGCCTTTTTTATTTCGATTTTATTTCTTTTATTTCTCCAGAAAGGGTTTCTCTAGTATCTTCCATGCTTTTTTCAAGCCCAGCTAGTATCTTTATAATCATCATTCTGAACTCTAGTTCTGACATCTTACTAATGTCCATATTGATTAGGTCCCTGGCAGTCGGTACTGACTCTTGTTCATTTTTCTGAGGTGAGTTTTTCTGTCTTGTCATTTTGTCCAGAGGAGAACAGATGAATGAGAGAACAAAATATTAACAGGGTAACAATGACCCCAGAAAAATATGTACTAAACAAATCAGAAGAGACCTTCCAGAAAGTGGTCGCTTTTCTGTTTAGAGAGTTGCTGCTACTCTTTTCTTCAATCTCCTATTGAGTTTGTAGGTGTTCAGAATGGTTTGATAGCTAGCTAGCTGCATTCCTGGGACCAGATGAAATTTAGGTCTCCTACTCTTCCGCCATCTTTCTCCCCCTCCCCATTATTTCTTTTACTAGAAGAAATGTAGTATCAGATTTCATGACTTGCTTAAGGTCAGCCAAGTAGTAAGTGGTGGAAACAGAACTCTAACATGGTGGCCTCTTCTTTCTTTCCGGTACATACTTTAGGGTGGGGAGGAGAGATAGGTTTTTTGAAAAGTAAGCTGGTTTGTGATTATAAAAATTAGGTTCTTTTCCAACCTATGGGAGAAGGCCCTGAGAGAATGTGGTTATTGTAAGAAATTCAGGGATACACACACACATGCACATGCACACACACACACCAATAATTATCGGAAAATGGGCAGAGAAGGTTGCAAGAGGACCCAGTCCCCTTTACATAGTTGAGGCTCCTAGAGTAATGAAATCCCCAAAGCACCCAGAACCTGGTGGTGGTTTAGATCTGACCATCTCGAACTCTTGATGGTGAGAGACCAGTACTAGATTTTGTTCCCTCAATCTGTTTTGGACTAATATGTGTTTAAAAAAACAAAACAAACCTCCCTTCCCAAAACACACCCAGTGAAAATAGAATACTCTTAATTTCCACACTTGTTTCATGGAAGACCGGTAACAAAGAGTTGACATTCCCTCACAGTCTATAGACCATATTTTGACTAGCATTGGTTTAGATTTTTAACACATTAAAAAAACTACAGTTGAAAAAATTGTATTCACGATATTTTAGTACGGTATTTGTAAATCAATCCACAGTGTGTTCTAGGTGGTGAGGACCAATAGTATTGGGACATACGTTTAAACATGTGTGGTGAACGCATTCTTTGTTCAATGCTGTCAGTGCATTTCTGAGACCTACTGCATAACCAAAGTCTATACTTAGAGACAGCATCCAAAGTCTATACTTAAGGCACTTTCTTGAGGCACAGATCACACACTTATGTCCTAATTGTTTTTCTTATGTGCTACTTTTGTGATAAAACATGACTTAGGTAATAGCTCTAAAGAATTTATATTAACTGTTTGAATCCCCCTCCCCCATTCAGTCAGTATTGAAAGGACAACTGTTGTCTTGTGGGAGAATAAAAAATTTGACATTAAAAATTGAAGTCCTTATACTTGAAATCTTCAATAACTATGTCTCCACATAGACATTGAAGGATTTGGGTGAAAGTTGGCTAATTCCACTATGTTTGTGGAATCTCCATCTCCCCTGGGACTTTAGTGTCTTCCAAAGGCTCACTGTCTGTTCCCAGACCCCAGGTTTTCTATGAGAAATAGCAGTTCCTCGTTTATTCACTCCATAACTTCCAGTGTGCCAGGCAGGGTGGTGAACAGTGGCTTCTACTCTCAGGAAGCTCAGGAGGAAGCAAGTGGAGGATTTGAGTCAGTTCAACAGAGTTCCAGGCGTGGGAGTTGGGAACAGACGTAGTGTTCACCCCAAGGCCCTCCCCTGCCATGAAGTGTGTGGAACTGGTGGCTGGACCCCCTCACATACCTGACCCTGAATGAGCTCTTCTGACCCTTGGGCCTGGGCCTGGGTGGTCTTTTATTTGACATAAGAACTGGGCTTCGTGCACAGAAGTGATAATAGGAAGTTAAATGCCTTAAGAACTTCGTCCAGATTTCCAGGCAGAGCAGAACGTGAGGCTGTAAGCTGGCTTTCTTGGCAAGAAGCAGCGACACAGAGCATCTCAAGATGACGAGGCTGGCTGGCAGCCCCTAGGCGCAGGGACCATTTTTGTTCCTGAGATTAGGAAACACTTTCATTTTTGTGAGTTGAGGCATAGACAATTCTCCATGGGGAAAATGGGCTTTCCCCACCCCCCCCAGTGACGTTTGCAACCAGGTACAATGTTTGCACTTCTCACACATGGGGGAAATTCCCCTAGACCCATGCTTCCCAAAATGAATGAACATGTGAATTACCAGGATATCTTGCTGAAATGCAAATTAGGTTCAGTTGGTCTGGAGCTGTGCCCGAGATTCTGTGTTTGCAACAAGCTCCCTCCTGGGTGAGGCTGAGGCCACTGCTCTGCGGTATTGCTGGTCTGTGGGCAGAGCTCTTAGGAGCAGGGGCCTGGTGGCCTGGAAGCATGGGAACTGGCCTCACCTGCTTTTGTGGAAGATACTGATTTCTGTTTCATCCCCACTTGTGTATTCTGCTCAACACAATGTCTACAGTGGCGTTTCCTTTTCTCAAGGGTCTTATGTAATATGAGAGTTGTATGTATTGGTTGATGTGTTTAATCATTTTTAAAAAAATCTTTGTTGTGCTTTTAAGTACATCTTCAGGGCAAAATGCTAGCTGTCAGGCACAATCAAGTTCTGCTCACTCCCACATCATTACAAAGCATTGCTTTGACCCACATATCTTGTGTGTCTCGCATATGGTGGGGGCAGTCCAACATAGTAAATCCTAATGCAGAGAGCCTGGCAATCCAGTCACAGAATGACAGACTCACATGTTATGTTCAGTGATTTGATTCTTCAGCAGCCTCTTAACTGTGGATGCATTAGAGAGTAAATCTGTAAAAGGAACTAAATCCATTGATTATATCGTGGGCATCAGATACAGCTCGTCATTTGACCTTCCAGGGTTAAAAACAATTAGAGAAATCTGAAAACAAATTCCATTTTGATGCTTTGTCCCTTTTGAGCTACATTAGATGGTTTCAGTAAAGGAAGTAAAGGCTCAAAGTTTATTCAAAATTAAACTCAATGTGATTTCAGGAGAATCGGGGCTTCATCTCACAATATGTGTTTATATGCCCCCATCCTTTATTCAGTGCAGTACATCCCAGGCCAGTGAGTGGCTTTTTCATCAACTGTCTGAGCTGATGTTAGTAGTTTCTAATGAAAAGATAATCATGTAACATAGATCAAACTCCTCTTCCAAAATTATTTTTAGTGGATTGGAGGAGTGGCTCACTTAGTGTCTCTAATTTCTTCATTTACTTTTATAGGTCACATTCTACCCCTAAAATATTCCATGGGTCTGTCAGCAACTTTGATTGAAGCAGAAATTAATCTTATCAAATATCTTGATGAAGGCTTGGAAGAGTCCTTGCTATTAACAGGGTTTTGTGGTAATGGTATTCATCTTAATCAGATTTGGCTGACAAATCTCTCACAGAATTTTAGAAGGAAAAATAATCTAACCGACTCATTTTACCCATGTGAAACAGCTGGTGAGTTTGCCTAAGGTCACCTGGGCCTATCCCAGTCTGTCATCCCCCCACCCCCACCATCTCCACATCCTTTAAGGACGTGATGCCCTGGCTTTGAGGCCCAAAGCTGCAGGTCTTCCACCTTTCCCAGTGCGGGGCAGGGTGTTCCATCTAACACCATTCACTGTAGTCCCATAGCATCCAGATTGGGCCTTCTAGCTGAGTTGCAGTGCACTCACTAGTCTCTGGGGAGACAAAATAGTGTGGTAGGAGCCCTGATTCTATAGCCAGGTGGCCTGGGTCAAATGCTACAGCTTGTGTGACCTTGGGCAGGCCACCGAGGCTCGGTGCTTCTGTTTCTTTAGATGTATTGGGGACCTTCCTCATAGGATCGTTATGAAGACTGAGTGAGTGAATACCTGTGGAGCAATTACGGCAAACGTTCAGGTACACTGTATGTGGAATTATATGTGGGTTTGTGAATGGTGGTTCTCCACTAGGTATTGAGTTGTTAAATCAGTGTTCTGAATCATAAATAGCTTTAGAAAAGTTAAATGGCCCATAACAGAATAAAATAGAACATATTAGAGTACACTGCATCTATGCAGGGTGTTGTTTGGTGTCTCTTTGGCTCTCTTTTTAGTGTTCCTTTGGCTGTGTGTGTGTGTGTGTGTGTGTAATGGTTCACAGAGTAAAAATGTATTTCTCACTGTGGATTGTAGTTAAGAGTTTAGAAGTCCCTGCTCCAGGGACTGGAGTGAGCTAATCCATTTCTCTAAATGCAGACCTATGGGGTGAATGGGGCACATTTTAGACATGAATGTACAAGATGAACTCTGGCTGAAACTTAAATGTGCTTCTTTTGCAGAGGGAGACCAAAGGGCAGTTTCTTATTGACCACATCTGCAACTACTACAGCTTGCTGGAGAAGGACTATTTTGGCATTCGTTATGTGGACCCAGAGAAGCAGCGGGTAAGAGCCAACCTCTGTCTGGATCCATTTGGGGGAGTGGCTCACACTGTGGGTGACCAAAGAGGTTCCTATCAGACCAATCAAGATGTATTCTTGTTCTCATGGTCATTGACCACTTGAAAATGACTGGCCCAGGGTGTGTGTGTGTGTGTGTGTGTGTATGTTTGTAAGAGTTTGGCACTGTTCCCACTGGACTGGGTAGGGCAGGAGAAGGGAAAATTTACCTTAGATCTTTCCAGAAAGCTGCTCCCACTCAGTTCCTGTGTCTTTGAGAAGCTTTGACAAACAGTGGGCTCAAACAGTGACTACATAAAATCTCATTGTGGAGAAAATCCACCTCTCACTATAAAACTATTGGTAGAAAGGGGAACAGGAGAGACTGCTTAATAGGTACAAAGTTTTCTTCTCAGGTCATGAAAATGTTTGGAACTTGATATAGGTGGTGCTTATATGACATTGTGAATGTCTTAAATACCAATTGTACACTTTAAAATGGTTAATTTTGTTATGTGAATTTCATTTCAATTAAAAAAAAAAGCCCTTGGCAGACGAAGGGTTAGGATAGTTTGAAAGCTGCTCTTTGAACACTGGTAAATTTGACAGCCCCCATTATATCCTTGTTCCTGGATATACCTACCCTTGTTGGTATCTGTTGATTTTTGTAAGAGTGAGCAGAGGAGTCTTGCCTTTTGAGTTGGGTACTGTACCAGCATATATATATATATATATATATATATATATGTATATGTGTGTGTATGTGTATGTGTATGTATGTGTGTATGTGTATATGTGTGTATGTGTATGTGTGTGTATGTGTATGTATGTGTATGTATGTGTGTATGTGTATATGTGTGTATGTGTATGTGTGTGTATGTGTATGTATGTGTGTGTATGTATGTGTGTGTGTATGTGTATGTACATATATGTGTATATATATATTCATGACATATGTTGGATTCAGTGATATATGTCCCTCACATCTAAAGGTCCCAGGAATCTCCATCCCAGCTCCCACCACCTGGGGTTTCCCATTCCTGTAACCCTGCTGTGGGTCCCAACTATGGATTAGGATGCCCTGTACCTGCTCTGATCTCTCCTTATTAGCCTTTCCCATGGCCAAGCAGGGCAGTGTGTGTGAAAGGGTCAGCTGTGGGTGGTCTGGGATGGGGGGGACAAGTCCACTCTGCCTTCTTTAATTTGTCTTCCTCCTATTGGTGTCCCTGGTCATCTTTCTCTCCCCTCTTCCCTCTCCACAGTTCCACTTGGTTCTTAGTTTCATATTTACTAATCCAATACAATGAGGAGAGGCTTACTGAATGTATTCTTGTAAAGGAGCAGGCTGTTTAAGGAACAGATTAGATTTTGTTCTGAAAGCTGGGGAATCGTACTTAGCTTTTAGAGTCCAGTAGGACCTAATCTTCTCTAAACACATACCATGTGGTGGCTCAGAAAGAGATTTTGCTTTCCTATAGCACTTGCAGGAACTCTCTAATGGGCCAAACATTTACCTGAGTGAGAGGGAGGTAGCAGGATACTAGTGAGGATGTAGGACTGACATGAGGTCACAGAGGGGAATCATGTGACATTTTCTACTGTTAACAGTTGCTCCCAGACCTGGCCCTGCAATAAAATCACCTCAGGGGCTTACTAACAATGCTGAGCGTAGACCCTCTTCTGGACCTCCTGAATCAGAATCCTTGGGGCTAGGACCAGGAACATGTATTTTAGCACATCCTGATTCTACTTTTGATGCAGCCATCCCAGCTTTGGTCTTCAGGCTGATGTTGGGGACCATGGCATAAAGATATTCATAGATACAGCTTCTTGTGGCTTATGAAGATATTACCCTTTTTTTGGAGAGAGAAACAGGTTCATAGATATCTGCCCAAGGTCTCACAGCTAGTAAGTGATGGAGGGAGTATTGAGTTCCCTGTGGGTCAAACAGACTCTGTTAGATGACTAATATAGTCAACTAACCACCACTGAATATAGATTCTTTTTGTGCAAAATCCCATCCTAAACTCTAAACAAGCAACCTTCAGAAGTAATTCTAGCTACCATTAGTTGAGCATCTGTCATATGCCAGGAATTCTGTCATGGTCTCTAGTCTTCTCTACAACACTGTAAGGAAGGGGAAAACTGAGGTACGGAGGGTCAGTGGCTTGTCTAAGGCTACATGGCTAGTAATTAATGGTGGAAGGATGATATCTGAACCCACATTCTTTCCACCCATCTCCCAAGTGAAAATTTGAAACCTAACCTAGACCAGGGATTTGTAGACCTTTGCCATAAAGGACCAGATAGAAAATATTTTCACTTTGTGACCCATACAACCTCTGTCATAATTTTTCAATTATTTTATTCTAGTGGAAAGCGGCCATAGACTATACCTAAATTAATGGATGTAGCTGTGTTCTAATAAAACTTTTTTTCCAATAAAAGTATTTTATAAATAGGCAACTAGCCATAGTTTGCTGACCCTTAGCCTAGATAATATCTGGAAACCACTTTAATGCATAAGCTGTTTTTATTTCTTTTGACTCATTGGGAAGATAACCTATTAAGAGAAGTCTTTAGAATTGGAATCAGATGTTGGTATGAACTTGTGGTTTTTCAAAAAATTTATACATAGACACAGAAATATAGACGTGCATGTGTGCATGTGGGCTAGTATGTGTACGTATATAGTTCCCAGTTCTGTTTTCTGAGATGGCCTAGAATCAATGACACTACAGTAGCAGTGAGCACACCTACCCCCTAGATCTTGGTTTCTAAATATCCTTTTCTAATAAAAGGAACAAAGGCTCCTTGAAAACATGTCTGATTCTAGGGCAGAGTCAGGGACATCACAAGATGAGCCTGGAGCATGTTGTCATGCCAGAAAGTAAGGAACTGCTCAGAAGATAAAAGGTCACTAGAATGACACAGAACCAACCTGAAAGAACTGCCAGTGGCCAAAAATGGAAAATTAGAGGGACAAAAAAGAAATAACAATAGCATTGGATTATAGTCCATAAAGTAAAATATCCATGAGCCATATGGATATAAGTAATTGAATAAATAAATAAAAGGGAGAGAAGAGATGGCTCTTCCTTACAGATGAATTCCAGTTAATAAGTGTAGAAGGAATGAGAGATGATTGTACACAATGATTGTTGTGTACAAGCTTCATTGATGAATGCTAAAATTAGTGGGCAGAAGTTTGAGGAGAAACAAGATATCTGTATAGTCTCAAAGTACTCCTCCCCGCCCCCCATATCTTTTGATTACAAAGGGAGAAAGACTAACTTTATAGTGGCGAAACCTGGCAGGCACCACTTTAACCAAGCCATCAAGGTTATCACCAGGGAGAAGACATTCCAATATCATGTACCTCCTGATGATCCTGCACTGAGGAGGGCACGTCGTCCCTGTGGTATTCGTCCCAATAATGCTGCACTTCATTCAAATCTTGAGGAAATGTAGGAGAGCCTGAAGTGAGAGACATTCTCCAAAACAACTTAACTATATTCTTCAAAAGTATTGAAGTCCTGAAAGACAAGGAAAGACTGTGGAACTCTCATAGATTAGAGAGACACATCAACTAAGGCCATGTGGGATTCTGGATTGGATTCTGGAACAGAGAAAAGTCTGACAGTGGGAAAACTGGTACACTCCAGATTAAGTCTGTAATTCAGTTAATAACATTGTGTTAGTATTAGTTTCTTAATTTCAATAATTGTACTGTGGTTATGGAAGATGCTAACATTAAGGGGAGAGGGTGGTTATATTTATACCTTAGTCATCTGTCTAAAATTATTTAAGTTAAAAAGAAGTGTTTAGGTTGATGTGCTTCATTGTTCTTTATATTTTGACTTGGTTGAGCTTAATTTTTAATGTCTAGATTTGGGTAGTAGATTAGTGGAAGAAATGTGGGCCTCACTCAAAACTGTCTTATCTGATATATCCACTAAATTGCTTACAGGGTTGCTTGAATCATTTTCCACACTGCATCATAGCCTTTTCTAGACTTTTGATTCTGAGGATTCAGTGGGAGTGTAGCTTTCACTTGGGTTGCAGAGTAGTTACTACATGAAACCGCATGGACTTTGTACTCAAAAAGATGTGCATTAAATCCCACCTCTGCTGGTCAGTAAGCTGTGTGATCTTGACCAAGTTATTGAGCCTTTCTGAGTACCTGTCCTGATGGTTAAAACAGATAACGGTACCTACCTGTAGGGTTGATATGGGAATTCAAGATAAAGTTTAACAAATGGTATATACCGAGTACATGCTATATGTTATTTTTATTGTGAGTCTTATAATTATTATGCATTGGTTTGGTCTAGGTGAGGCAATCATATGAAGAAATTCAACCATGGTTAGGAAGTCTAAAATCTAGAAATGTTCAAAACTGCTTTTAAAGGCAGGATGGCCATTGTTACGATCTTTGGGGAGACAGGTGTGAGCCTTGGATAATTAGAAGAATGGGCTCAGAGGCACAAAGACGTGCTGATATGGGAGTTTTAAGCAGAGATGAATTGACCAGCATTGGTAGTTTTACCAGGTCGTGTACTTTTTCTCAGTGGAAACTAAAACTGATGGATTATTTGGATAGAGAGCTAATCAACAGAAAATTTAGTTAGAAAAGCTGAAGTGGAACTTACCTTTGCTGTGGGAGTTGGTGGTTTGCCTACAACTCTTCACAACTTGATTTACAGAAAACCATTGTGGAATATTAAATATTTAGCACTATTACATTTGGAACAGCATATGTTTGACAAGATGTCTCATGCCCCATATGCTCTGAGAGTGATGAGGACTGAGTTAGTAAATGATGACGATCTTTTGTTATTTTAGTGGCAAGGGTTCAGAATATCCATTAGTTTTAAAATTTGATGTAGGGAGGGGCAGATTGAACACTGCTCAGTAAAAATCCCCTCGAGTTTCTACCATATTCTTTTTTTTTTTAACACTGAAAAATGTTTTATTGCTTTGAGTTGGCTGAAACAAAGTGGGAG